ACATTATTTGAGTGCTACCTAATAATGTTTGCTGACAATTTCCAGGGTTTGACCTTTTATTCTAGGCTACATTTCTTTATAAATAATACTGCTAAACCTAATACTTGCTTTGTTTAAAAAACACAAAATGTTGTGAAAAATACAGAAAAACTTATTTCAGTACTTCTTGAGAATTCTTGGGAATTGAGATTTCGCATTCTCAAATCCCAAACACTATCTCTTGGCAGTCTGGAACCTCCCGCTTTGGAGGCAGTCCGACTTCTGGGGTCTGGGGGTCCTTCAGCCCTCAGATACACGGGAGAGCTTCCCCCACCCATTTCTCAGCTGTCTTTAGAAACTTTTGTTATTTCTTAAAGTCTGAATTAGGGTTTCCGGAAACAAGAGCCTGTTGAGTTCTTGTTACTTAAAACAACACGTTATTTTTGCCTTCTAGTCCAGAAATACAAAGAGGAAATTCTAGAGGCCCAAATGAATAAATTCACATATTTCTCTGAGCAAAATCCATGTGTCTTGAGGGCCAATCTTGTTTCCAAGTACCAGGAGCACAAAAGTGAGTAAGACCCAGTTGCCACCCTTGAGAAGTGCAGTTTATCGATGAAGATAGACATGAAAAGAACCGCTTTGTGCTGTAGCGAATGTCACGGTTGGGTCTCAACAACATGAACTGTTGAACAAACAGTGTCATGGTTAATTCGACTTGCGATAGGGCTCACGGGATCAGGAGAGACTTCATGGAAGGCAATTGATTTGAAACTTAAACAAGGGACGGGCGTTTGCCGTGCAGATAGAAAGCATTTTCCAGCCTACACAGACTTGGGTTTGCGTGGCACATGTAAGAGGCATGGAAGTGGCTGATATGGCTGGCTGGAGATAGAATCAGCCCGGCTGAGTGATGGAGGGATGTGCTGAGGACAGGAAAAGAAAGTGTCTGGGACGGCCCCCAAGGCTTTAAGCCTGGGTGTACCCTGTGTCCTATTGGAATAGCCTCTTAATATTTGGTCACGTTGAATCAAGTTGCTTGCCTGAGGACTAGTCAGGGAGCCTGCCCAGATGCCATCACAGGACCGCGGTGACATGGGAGTGCAGCCCGACTGCCTGTGGAGGGGCCCTGGCAGACTTCCTGGGGGAGGGGGTTTTTGTGCTGGACCTTCAATAAAGGTTTATGAGGCACAGAGAAGAGGAGGGTACATGGAAGAAATATAGATGGGAATGAAAATATGTCAGATACAGAAAAAACCCACATGATGTCACAGAGGCACAGTGATCCTTGGTGGCTCTGGGAAATAGCAAAGGTAGCTGGAGCAAGTATGTGAGGGTGGTGGTCAGTGTGCGTGTGTGTGTTTGTGTGTGGGTAAAGGAGGCGGGGCAGGTGGTGACCCTGTGGAGGTAGGCTCTATTGGTTTAATGTCAAAATTAGGTGCTCAGACCGTGCCCTAGAAGGTGGGGAGAAGAGGGAGGTTTTGGCGGCGGGAGTCATGTCCTCAGATTCGTACTTAAGAATCATCACTCTGCTTCAGCACCATAAATGCCGGTTATTTTGGGAGACTTAAAAAAAAAGATTGAGAATAAGCAGCTGAGAGTAAGAAATGTTGGCGATGTGCTGACTGTCATCTGTCCGTCTTGGGGTGCTCGTGGGTTGGGACTTCCTGAGCGGTGCTGTCAGCGGGGGGAGCGGGGGTGGGACGGCTGCGCCCGGCACCAGCCTGGCCAGGGTGGAGTGAGGGATTCGCGGCTGATGGAGAGGATGGTGGAGCCTGCCTCCCGACTAAATTGCTTGTGTCACCCCAACTGATGAATGTCTGTGACATTGGGAATTGCAATCCCATCAAGCTACCTTTATCAGATTTCACTCTTCATTGACTCAAGAAGTGAAATATCTTCGAGTCAGAAAGCTTAGTCCCTTGCCTCGACTGGGTTGGTTATTTTTTATGGTTTGCACTGAGTTGTGGAGATTGGAATATACACATAATAACCAGGGAAGCTATGCTCCGCAGGCTCGCATGTACTTGTATATAACTTCACATAACATGGCTTCTGGACAGAGACAGCACGTTTGGTTGCCATCTCTGCTGGCATTCCTGAAAGGTAAGGGACACCTGAGTTTGCCTCAGTATAACAGGCGTGCTTGTTTTATTAAAATTGGGCAAATTCGGAATGACTTGGCATTTGTACTTCTAGTCCCCAAGGCATCCTAGGAGGGATCAGAGGGGACTTCCCCGGTCATGATCCACAACCGCTTGACAGCGGATGTGGGAGCCGCCACTCTGGGGGTGAAGTGCCGGGACGGTGGCTCAGGGGGAGGTGGGCCCTGGCGATGGGAAGGCAGGTGCCAGTCCCGGGGGAGCACAGCTATTTCCAGGGTAAGCTCGGTCTGGCAGATATCTAGGGAGCAGCTTGCCAGACGTCTGCGTGACCCTGGGCCAGCCACTCCCCAGCTGTGTCTCTGATTCCTCATTTATAAAACGCAGTCATTGCACTGGGTTAGGTTGGAGGTATTTTCTGGTTCTGACAAGCTGTTATTTGGTGATTAACTGCGGAGTACCCAGACAGGTCAGCCCACAGGGACCCACCCACTCGTCCAGCAGGGATACATTGAGTACCCATGATGCACCAGGCACCCTAGTAAACACTGACCAGCCTCACCCTTCTCTGTTAGGTCCAGAGACAGGGATGGGCGGTCATTAACTGGTGACTAATAGTTGGTTCAGCGTTCACTTCTCCCTCCTCTGCCCTTGGCGAAGCTCCTTCCAGCTTCTGTCATCTGGAGCATCTTGCACACGGTCATGTCTGCTCCGGCAAAGCTACCCACTGCTTGGCCTTTATAGCCCCTTCCTGGGAAATGCATAACAGGAACTGCTTCAGCTGTGAGCACGCAGCTAGGGACTGACCCAGGAGAGGGGCTGCTAGACGGCAGCCCGTCTGCCTGTATTTGCTGATTCATCATCCGCGTCAGACAGTCTGCTGTGCGGATGAGGACAAATGTGCAGCGGTGTGCTGAGGGAATCGTGCACTCTAAGATTAACCCCGCGCTGACGGCCCGCCTGGCTGCTGCGTGGGGTCCCCTCACCCGCCTTCCCTTTCTCGGTAGTCCTTGAAAGTCTAAGTGGTGTTTGGCAAAGGATGCTAGGATACCTCATGTCTGTGTGATTTAGAAATGCAAATAATAGTTGCTTCTATTCCAGGCAGAGAGGCAAAGACAAGGTGGGCAGCTGCTATGGAAGCAGGCAGGGGGCACTGGAGAGAGGACGCCCAGTGACAAACATGTAGGTGACCCTAGAGAGCTTTCAAGCTAGTGACCTAGGTGGGACTGGGATGGGCTAAAGAGGAGAGATTTATCCCCAGACGCTTGGAAGTTGTCCTCACAGAGTGGGCCACCCACCAGTTGTCTTCATGACCTCGGGCAAGGCTCTTCCCAATTTGGGCCTCAGTTTCCCCATTAGCAGAATGAGTAAACTGGACTAGGCGACCTCAGAGGGCCCTCATAGGACCTTCTTTTCCGGTTCATTAGTCAGACAGGCCCAGCCCTGTGGCCTGTCCAGCCTGGGATCCCCCGTGGTCCCAAGGATTGCGCTGTGGGTATATGGTCATTCGCCTGGAAGTCAAGGTAGTTCCACTAACAGACCTTCCTCCTTGTAGTCCCCCCAACCCCAAATCACAAGGGTGGGTTTGGGGTAGGATAAGAACCAAGTTGGTATGTGTTCTCCCTCAGTTGCTTTTCTTCTTTTAGAAAAGGGTAAGTTACCTCAGACACCACACCCTAACTCCTGAGGAGCCGGGTATTCGCTCTGAACCCAGGAGAAAATAGTTCCTTCTTGTGACCCCTTGAGTTCTTCAGGGGAATTAAATGCCATTCCACACCTAGGGCCTTAGAATTAAGTCCATTATGGCAATTGAAGCAAATAATAATTTTAACCACAGCCACCATTTTTATTGCTTCCCATTTTGCAGGCGTAATACTGGGACCTTTACAAACCTCAACTCATTTAATCCTCATACGATCTCCTTGAAGTAGATCCTATTTTCCCCATTTTACAGGTGAGGAAAGTGAGATTTACAGGGTTAAAAATCCTGCCAAGATCACACTGGCAGAGCTGAGATTTGACCTCGTGTTTTCTGACTCCAGAACCCAAGTGTTAACAACCGTGCGGGGCTGCCAGTGTTCAAGGGCACAGTCATCACCTGACTGACGGGCAGGAACACAGCGCGCGGCCATGGGAGTCACTCCCCGTGGGCTGCTGGGAGAGCAGCTTCAACCGCGAGAGAAAGCATGGCAGTAACTGCGGGCCTTCATTTCAGTGGTTTGTGATAAGGGATGGGGTTCCTTCCATGGACATAAGCCATCCTAATAGCACCATTTATCATTATGACAAAGGTGAGGGGGCGGGGGACTGAAGCTGGGATGAAAGAACAGAATTCTGATTATTTTAGCAGTTGGAAGTGACACCACCCCAGAGCCTCTATCAAATGGCACATTGGAAGCTGGACTGAAATTGCCTAAAAAGGTATCCAGAGATCGTTGTCCACAGCTGTGATGAAGTCATTGGGCTGTGCTTGGTGATGAGTTTCTACCGGAGATGCTCGCTGAGGCATCTGTGCGTCATCCCACTCGGAGGCCACTGGTGGCCCGGGAGGAGTCGGAGGCTCTGGGTGGCCATTTCTGGGCCCCTGTGATAGGCCACACCCTGCCCTGGGGGCTGGGCGAGTGGATGGAGCCACACTACTTCTTTGGTCTTTTTAGTGTATTGTGACTGTCTTCTCCCGTCAGTAAGTGATGCTTCACAACATTTGTGATGGCCACGTCGCTTTTCCCGCTCCACCCAGTGGGTTGAACTTAAGCTTTTAGAATAGTCTCCGCCCCCTATCAGCTAGTTGGAACGAATGGGAGAGCTGGCTGTCGGACCAGCCCTTCTATTTATTTGGCCTTTGTCCAGGTACCTGGAGGAGAGACCCAGGAGGACTGGAGCATTGGTTAACTTATCTCTGCTTTTTTTCATCCTCAGGCAAAAGAAGGAGAACGTGGCGCACAAACACTGGGTTGGACCTTCGAATCTGGTCAAGTGCAAGCCCTGCCCCGTGGCACAGTCGGCCATGGTCTGCGGCTCCGATGGCCACACCTATACGTCCAAGGTCAGTCACCTTTGTCTTTTCTGTCATCAACAACACTCCATGTCTGCTGGTTCTGACAAGTCGCAGTGCCCACACTGGCACAACTCTGTGAATCCCCATGTGGCTTTGGGCCTTGTCCTTGAGAAGCTGCCCCTTGAACAGACTCTCTGGCCGGAGAGATAAGGGAGATAAAAATGTTAGCTCCCGTGTGCTGGAGCGGTCGGTCAAGGGCTAAGGGGAGAGGGCGATTCTGAGAGTGGCTTCCTGGAGCAGGTAAGAGAGCCAGCTGTTCCAGAGACGCACGTCATGCCGTTCGGCTGACGTGGGCAAAGACGCAGGGGAGGCCCAGAAGGCCGCCTGAACGTTGGGGCGGTGGCAGGAGGAGCATGAGGTCAGCGCACACCTCACCTGCGCCCCTTGTACCTCGAGGCCTGCACCAGCCACGGGGCCCTGTTCCTTTCTCAGGGGTCCTCCCGGGGGCTTACAGTCTAATGGGGAAGACAGGCGTGGTGACAGATCATCTCCCCTCAAACCTGTGGAAAGAAAACGGTTTCGTAGAAAGGGGCACTGTGGAGCCAGTGGGTCTATTTTTTATCAGAAGGACAGGGAAAAGTTTCAGGAGGAAGGGCATTTCATTTGGGCCCTAGCAACAGGCTTTACAGGCAGGGAGGCAGGGCTCACCGGGGTGGGAAAAGGAGGAAGTGATGATTTGTTCTTGGAACTGCAAACTCTTCTTGGATTAAAGTTTGTCCATTTCTGTAAGGGAAGGGGTAGTCTCACCGGGAGAATGAATTAAAGAAAAGGAAACCACAGAATGGACCGGAGTTTGCTCGTTTGTTCTTGTATTCCGCAGATACACATCGGCGCCCCATCGGCGCGGGGCACTGTGCTAGGCAGGGAGGCCGTGGCACGTGGGTGTCTCGGGAGTCTTCTGTGAGAAGAGGCGGGGGGTGAGGACTGGGGCTCTGACCCTCCCATCTCCTCCAGCCTCAGCCTCCCCACTTCTGTCCCTCTGGGTCTCCTGTGTGAGGTTCACTTGCAAAACAGTCTACAGCTAAAGAGAGTTGCTATAAGAGATACCCTGGTCATTGCGGGCCACACCACCCCGTGGGTCTGGGCTCAGGGACTTGGGCCAGCCTGCTGGGTCCCTTTCTGTTCCTGACCCACTGCACACATGGCTACAGCTTCTGTCCTCTGGGTTTTCCTCACCTTCCGGGCCCTTGCAGCCATTGGAAGGTACCTCTACTTGTACCCACACCCGTGTAATCTGCCTTAGGACCTCAGTCGCATAATTGCTGCTGGGTTAATCTCTTTGCTCTTTCAACAAGTATCATTTGAACCCTTTTTATATGCCGGGTGCTGTGGAAATTAACAAACTGGCTTTCCTTCCTGGCCAGAGCCAGCCATCCTTAGCTCCCAGCCCGCCCTGTGAATTGCAGCTCCTCTGCCCACGGTCATAGCTGGCACACCCTGGCTAAACAGCCTCGCCCAGCTCCGCTTAGCGCTCACCTCTTCCTCCTTCCCCTACTCTCACAGACTCTCGATGGATCACAGTTTGAGAAAGTGTCATAATGGCGCTTGCTTCTGACTCCCTGACACTCCTGGCATAGTGGGTTTGCAGGGGGCAGTGTCTGGATTTATAGGGGCATTGGTGTATCACTTCTGTCCCCCACTCCCAAAGACAGCTAGGCCACCACTGTCGTTCCCCCAAAGCCTGGCTTCTAGGTGTGCGCGCAGTCTCCTGGCGAGGCTGTTAGCACGCAGATTACAACGTAGCAGGTCTGGCGTGGGGCCCGTGGGGCCTCCTAGAGATGCAGACTGTGGGTGATGCCCTCGCTGCCGACCCCTGAACTGCACTGACTAGCGAGGACTTCAGTTTTCGTAGGCGCCTCCTAATGGCTCTGCGTGTCTCCAGTCTGCCCTTTCCCCTGCCCCCAAAGCCATTTCCACATGATAGGAGGGAGGCGTATTTCTGTCATAAACGTCTGTTCATGTATCTTTCGCACTTAAAATGCTGCGGTAGCTTTCCTCTTGCTGCAAGAACCATGCTCAGACCCTTTGTTGTTACCAACAGAGCCCTCCAGAGCTTGTCGCCTTTCTATTCCGCAGTCACTTACCATAGAAAAACCCTTCGTTCATTGGGTCCGCAGCTGCGTGGTGAACACTCCCAGTTGTTCTATGGTGAGGCCAGTGGGCAACAAGACAGACGCCACTGGAGGTTATAATCTGGAGGGAGAGACACAAATTAGTCACCAAACAAGTAACTATGTAATTTCACATTTTCATAAATGTTGAAAAGGAAACTAGAGTGAGAGCAAGAGGGGCCTGCTGTCTAGGGGCTGGTGAGGCAAGGCCTCTCTGAGGGGGTGTCCTTAAAACTAGGGGCAGGTAGAATGTTCCAGATAGAGAAAGTCGCACGAGCCAAGGCTCCGGGCAGGATGGTGTGTCTGAGGAGCTGCGAGGACGCCAGTGTGGCCCTGACGGTGAGGGGAGAGGCGATGAGATGATGGGGCGGGGCGGGGGCGGGGAAGATGTCGCGAACAATCTAAGAGGAGCCGTGTAGCCAAAGCGGGAAGGCGAACAGACGGTGGAGAATGCCAGGCCTGCGGACACTTGTTGTTGTAAGTGCCTTCTTGTCCGTGTCTGCCGTAAGGACGTGTGATCCTGGAGGGAGACGCCCTGTCCGTTCCCACCTTAACCGGCACAGGACACCGTGCGGAGTGGGTGCTCAATGAGGACAACACTGGGCGACCAGGGACAGTGGCTGAGCAGGGATGGAGGGATTCTGGTCTGCGTAACCCATCGGGGATTTGAGTGAACGGGTTGGCGAGAACTTAGCAATTGAGAAAAATAAGCCATCCCCACCGTGGGCCAAGTTGCTTAGCTAAACACCCAGCCTGGGGCTCTGGCAGAGAGTCAGAGGCTCCTTGCAATGATTTTCTCTTTGTGAAGATCCAGTTTGTGCTGCTCAAATTATTTCCTCCAGCTCCACAGTAAACTGTCTGATCCTCAAGCCTGTGACTGGAGACGAGCCCTGAAATGTCAGTGAGCGATGAGGGCTGTTTGGGCGAGGGGCGCGGCGCACATCAACCCCAGCAAAAGCCTGCCCGCTCGCCTCTGTCTCTCGTTCGCAGAAGGAGCTTAAAATGCCAGCTCCCCATGACCCCCGAGCTACAAGGAGCAACGTTAACCTGTCAGGCGTGGCTTGACATGCTGCTGGTTGCCCAGGGAATGTCTTTGAGAAAGGCTCTCCGGTCAAGGCCCCCCTTGCAGTCTGGGCTGGAAATTGGCTTTGTGTTCGAGAAGCTGGCCTGTTTACATATACTGTTAAATAGCTTGTCTAAGAGGCAGGATGAGGATTTGGAAGAGACCTTTGCGATGACTCCTGAATCCTCACCAGAGGACTGGCTTCCCCATACCACTGGGCAGAGCCCGAAAACCCTTTCCCGTGCCAGCGTAATGTCCTTGGGTTCCTACCCCAGCCTGTGAGAGTCCTCAGTTCCCCAGACCTGCTCACCCGTTGTTTCCTGGAGCAGAAGAGCACTAAAGCCTTTTCACCAGAAACTAGAGTGTCCTTCTCCCCATTCTCCATACGGGGTATACGGAGGCCCAGAGAGCCAAAGACCGTGGCAGGGTTTGACACCCTGGTCTCCTGCCTGGGTGTCTGTGATCACCCACTTCTACTGAAGATTAAAAAGCGGGAGGGGTGGTGGAGGGAAGGCATCACAGTGGAAAATACTGTTGGAGCTGGTTTTTGGCATTAGGCTCTTAATTTTCCGTCTTCTATTAACTTCTGGAAGGCTAGCTTTCTCTTTTACCTAAAGAAATGAATCAAATCTGACTCATTCAAAAGGTACCCATTGACTGCTCAAGACCTCTGAAGCCCAGGGCAATTCTAAACCTCCCCACAGCAACCAATGAAGCTTCCTTCCAAGAGAGGGTGGTTCATTCTGGTTGGGTTTATTATTGGGTGTTTAGTTATTGCCCCTAAATACAAGACCACCTGGCTATTAAGGTTTAAGGGGACATTTCAATCTCATAGACAAAGCTGTTTGAGGGCCACTGGTCAATGGTCAGTTAAAAGAGTGAGTTAACTATCAATGAACAAATAACTTTTCATTCTCTGCACCTATGGCCTTTTTGTGTGTGGGGGGGTCAGTGGGGCCAGGCAACCAAGTGCAGAAGAGACCATGATGCATGGTGATTTGATATTATAAGTCGGAGTCACAAAAGTTAGTGTTGGAAAAAGTATGTTGCATCCTCAGTCCCATCACTGAGGAACCAGACACCCCATAATAAGCAATCGCAGTTCTCCAGGTAAAGGGCTCGCCCTTTCACAGGTGGTCCGGAGGCAGCAGGGAGCTCTGTCAGGAGCGGGGTGGGGCGGGGGGAACCCGAGCAGCAGCACCAGCTCTGTCCTTGATGCCGGTGCTTGTCCTCGGGCCACATCCAACAGGCTTTTCTTCTGCTCCTTGAACTCGGAGGGGGGTGCATTTAGGGTCCCCCGTTGGTAGCAGAGTTCTTCCAGGGGCCTAGCCCCAGGGACACCACTCAGGACTCTGTGACTCCCCCAGGATCAGGTATAAAGTGAACAAGAACGCACAGTCTTGAGATGAGGGGATAGGAGATGTTACATGGCAATAAACGTTTATTGAGACTCTATAAAGTATAACCCATAAAAGACAAGGAACAGAAAACCTCCACTGGGGATAGTCAAGTGGAAGCCAGTGCTGCCACTGGTTTGAGACTGCGGCATAGATCCTGCCCCTTGATGTCACTTCTAGCCATTTGATTGCCCTTGTTTTCACATGCTCGTGGCCAGGAAAGAGGAAGTAGTCCAGACAGTCAGTAAATACTGAGTTCTGTCTCACTCTGAGTCATGCATTGTGCTAAGTACTGGGGATATGACAAAGGGCAAAATAGACAAAGCCCCGATTTGAAAGGCGTTCTCACCTTGGCCACGTAGCTCAGGTGGTTAGAGTGTCATCCTTGTGTGTCAAGGTTACAGGTTCGATCCTGAT